CGAATTTGATCCATTGAGGTTTTTTGGACTTAGAATGGAAATCTGCAGTTGTCTGGAAGTGTCGATTTCGTGCCCTCTTTTCGAGGTGATTACCAGCAAGCAAGTTGCTGAGCAGCGTCTTTTCGACAGTGGAAACAAATGTGCTCTATTTCAAGTGCGGTCTCCGGATTCGAACAGAATGGCGTTTTGCAAGTTTTTCAAAAAGAAGACGTCTTTGAAGATTTCATAGCGGCGGGGAGCGGGCATCTAAAAAGGAGCATACAAAAAGTAAGAGTAGTCCTGAAAATACAGTCTCTTCAGTTTCTAAAATTTTTTGTGAAAATGTGAAAAAAAGCACACCTTGTACTAACAACTGAACAGACATAGGCTACCATAGCACAGTCGCTGATAGTTACTCGCTCCACGCCTATATCTTCCAAAATCTGCATGGTCTTCTGATAGGGCATATCCTTGCCTTGCTCTGCTTCAATTTCCGAAACGTACTTGGTGGGGAAGCAATGTGGTTGCGATATTGCATCATAATCTCCTTCAAACAGCAACTTCTCTTTGGCCATATGCGAGAGCATGTAGCGTACTATTTCACCCATGTACATCCCAGAAATCATTTTCTCAAATATGTGGTATCCGGGGTTTATAGTTCGTTCATCCACTTGCGAATCGTAAATTGTTCGAACGAAGTCCAAACAGCCATCATCACCGAATGCACCCCATTCCATGTTTACTATCATCTCTTTTGGGTATCTATCTTCATCAAATTTATATTTCTTGAATTTCGGGCAGTTCGATAACTTTTCCATGTAGCATGCATTGGTGCCAGTCCCTAGGATGACCCCAATCTGGCAGGTATTCTCCTTGAATGCGCACGCCATCAAAGTACCAACGGTATCATTCAGTAGCGCTGCCACATCCACGTCAATGTCTTTGCGACGTGCGCATGCGCTTCGTAGAAATTCGACCACATCATGGCCTTCCACCCCACTTGCGCTGAAGCCCTTGGACCAGTGAACAAGTCTTCCACTTGCTAAACCCTCTTGTGCTACTGCAAATGAAAATGTGAAACCAAGAGGTAGTTTATCAGCGCCTTTTAATCCATTTTCTTCCATGAAATTTGCAAGGCACGAGGCGATATGGTCAAAGAGAGCAGTTCCGGTTCCCTTCATGATATGGTCTGGCACGCGGTAAATTTTGCCCGACATTTCTGCCTCCGTACCATTTAACCGGACCAGTAGAACCCGGAAATTTGTTCCACCTAAATCCAGTGCCAGATAATCGCCTTTTTCGGTGCCATTTGGCACAGCTCGTACAAATGATGGCAACATTTTAAGGCACGACTTTGAGCCAGAGTGATCGCTAAGTCCTTTTTCCATTTTCCTATGCATCTCATGCGACACACGACGCAACATATCGTCCGACAATATCATTGGCTTGCAGAATTCTCTAATTCTTTCCATCTGAACGCTCTCTGAATTTTTTCCTTTTGTATGAGAAGGCATCTTTTGTATCTGAAATTTTCAGTGGTCAGCAAAAGCTGGTGAAAAATTATGACTGCTTTTATCTGTTATTTAGGTTTTGGTTGATCTCAAATAGGTTTTTTGACTGATCTCAAATATTGCAGTTTGCTGTTTTTCGCATAAATCATGCATTATAGTAAAATTTAGTGTTGTGTGTTTATTGTACGTCTGTTTTTGTGTGTGCGTGTGCTTGGTGCTTTTGCACATATTTTTATACACATGGGCCCGGGTAATTTATCGTAAGCTCGAGGACTAGAAAACTAAAATCTTAAGACGGTAGTTCCCTATGACATTCGATGTCACCAACCTGAAATAACTTTTTTACCGCTCTGTATGCCTTAACTTCTCACTCAA